TTCTGCTGTTGCAGTTTTTCAGTCATGGCAATAGCACACATTTACTAGTAGATCTGGAAAACGGCACACTGTTTTGCCTATAGTCACACATTCTCAAAGGAGCTTTTAATTCCCCCTTCACCCAGATCAAGGCTGAGACAGAAGTCAGTGTCTGTCTGTCTGTCTGTCTCTCTCTCTCTCTCTCTCTCTCTCTCTCTCCCTGCCTTTGTCCAGTGGAATTGTTCTAGTTCACCCTTTCCTTGGCTGGTAGGCTTTTGTGGTCACCGCTTCATGACAATCTGTGGGTCGCGACCCATTTGGCGGTCGAACAACCCTTTCACAGGGGTCGCCTAAGACCATCCTGCATGTCACATATTTACATTACGATTCATAACAGTAGCAATATTACAGTTATGAAGTAGCAACGAAAATAATTTTATGGTTGGGTCACAACATGAGGAACTGTATTTAAAGGGCTAGAAGGTTGAGAACCACCGACTAGAACATCGAATGGTAAACATTGTGCAACCTGCTCTTTTCATTTTCTCTTATGTCTGTGGGGATTATCCATGGTAATTTTCCAGCAATTCCAATATTTTCATTCTCTGAGGTCTAACTTCATTTTTTAATTGCTTCTGCTGATTCAGCTCCTCGATCTTATTTCCTTGTATTTTCACTGTGACTTTATCTTTACTGGAACTCTTTGAGGAGTTGAGAGTGCATTTCTCCTGAAAGCACTCCCACCACACCTCCCCCCGCCTATAGTCACACATTCTCAAAGGAGCTTTTAATTCCCCCTTCACCCAGATCAAGGCTGAGACAGAAGTCAGTGTCTGTCTCTCTCTCTCTCTCTCTCTCTCCCTGCCTTTGTCCAGTGGAATTGTTCTAGTTCACCCTTTCCTTGGCTGGTAGGCTTTTGTGGTCACCGCTTCATGAAGGGCTCTGCTTGTGTTCCCCACCCTGCACAGCCCTGGTCTCCTGTCTCCACTGCACATGGTGGGTAAACAGGAAGCTCTAGGCCTTCAGGCTCAGAGAGCAGCCAGTGGCTACTTACTTGTTTGCAAACTCACTCTTTTCCAGCCATTGAAAGCTTCCTGTACTCTGTTGTGGCTTAGACCACATTTAAAAGGGTGTTTTTAATACTTTAGCTAATATTCTCAAGTGTTCTATAGTAAGAGGGTTTCAGAATATTTAGTCCATCATATTGTGTCAAGAGAAAGTCAGACTTTTTTAAAACCCACATTCAGTTCATTTGACAGCATCTGGGGCTAACCATTGTTTCCTCTCCCGTCATTGTCCTCTAAAGTTTTCTCCTTCATTTGTTTTGGGCTGAAGATCTTTCTTAAAATTTTTCATAAGTAGTTATGTGGGTGACACATCTAAATTGTGCCCATTTTCAAATAGTTTTATTTTAAATGGAAAGGAGATGCCATCTTAGGTAGTAATATATTCCCTAAATTTCAGCCTTTTTCACTCTGTATAAGGTTGATGGATGTGATTTCACCATCTTCTAACTTTCTATGGTGCAAACACCAATATGACACTCTATTACTTTTGCCTAGAAGCTTGTCAATTTTTATTCTAATCATGTAGCTCTGGAATTTTACAAATCTATACTTTCATCATAGGCATGTCTCTGTGATCTTGCTTGGAACTTGATGAGTTGATTCAATCCACAGGTTTTTCTTCAGCTAAGGGAGACTTCTTTTATTACACTCCAAGTCCATGAAAATGCAAATCCCACTGCTGCCTTCTATGCCCACCCCCATCTGCCCAGCTGCCACCTCACACAGGAGTAGCCTCTGTGGAGCTGTTCCCTGTGGAGGAAAGGAGGAGATAGTAGGAGTGTCGATGACAGGCAGTACAGCAGGTGGAGAGACTGCAGGCAGCCTCGTCTTAGGAAGTGGTCCAGTTTGCTCCTGGTCCAGTCTCCCAGATCAGGTTGATGCAATGGACACCGAGGAACTGGGTGATTCCTAAGATCGCCACTATTGACCCTCCTGGTCCCAGCCAGCCACAGCCCCCAGAATGGTCTCCTTTGATATTGGACTGGAGCAGGGAACTGTCAGCAGGCAGCACCAAACCATACCTGGGCCCTGCATGACTCCGGATCACCAGGAGATTCCCAGCTGGCGGTCCACACAGGCTCCCTGGTTGGGTTTGACCTCATGCTAACGTTCACCTCACTTTGTACATAGTTTAACTTTTGGATCCCACTTTCTCCACTGCAATAGAGTTTACCCACTGCAGTCGAGTTCAACTATGTTGATGCTGTTTTCCCTATTCCTGTCTCTCCTTTTGTTTACCTACACATTAGATTTTCTGGGTCAGTTTTCCAATTGCCTTACCTTTATCCAGAGGGTTCCTAGCTGTTTGTATATTTTTGTTCATTGCTTTGGAATATTACTTTTAAATGTCCTTGGATTCATCTTTTATTAATTAATCTACTCAACTGTTTACCTGAGAAATCGTCATCTTTCAGCGCCAGAAAGTCTTGTGGGTCCTGCTCACAAATCCTCTTCAGCCGCTCCCGTTACTTCTCTTCCCATTGGCTTCTCCTTCTTCAGCTCTCTCTGCTGAGCATGGCTCTGTTTGCTCTTGTCAGTTTTCCCTTTCTGGATGTTGGGCCCCCCACATGGATTATTTTTCTTTGTCAGCTCACTGGGGCTCCTCCATGGGTGTTCAAAGTCTCCAGGTTGTGGCGGATTCTGCAGTGGTTGAAGGAAGAGTGCTGTCTTCCATAGGTGTTGACGGTGCAGCCAGCAAATAGGCTGCCAGGCCCCGACGAGGCATGGAGGAGAAGCCGTCTGACTGAAGGGCTCCCCTCGCTCCCAGGCTCCAGCATGGAGAGGATTCTGCCCATCCCTCAGCTCCCCCTTGACATGTGGGTGCGCAGGGACCATAGGAGCACTCACAGGGAGCAGCAAATACATACAAATCGGTGTCAAGCTCTTTCCAGAAATTCTGTCTTTCCAGCCCTGCTCTGGGGGCTCCCCAAAGCTAGTCCCCTGGTTCTTTAGCAGCCCACAGAGGAGAAAGCCCTGCACTGACGCTCCTCCACAGGGTCCCCAGGTCTGCAGGCTCACAATGGGCCCTCAGCACCAACAGCTGCCTGGTGAGCTACCTGTGTGCAGGTGGCCACTGTCCCTGGATCCTCAGCTTTCCCAGGTGTTTATAAGAGTTCACTGTGACTGCTCATTGTTCATGGACTCATTCAACAGGTATTTCTGGAATGCGTATTCTCTGCAGGGCAATACACTTTAAGTAGGGAATACAGGTAAGCCAGAGCAGGTATGCTTCCTGTCCTCAGGCAACTCAGAGTCCAGTAGGGAAAACCAGGCTTCAATTAACAGCCACACAAGGAATTAGAACAGCGTAGCTGTTTCTAGATTTCCCACACCCCATACTGCGGGCTCGGATCATGCAGAAAACTGAAAGGGGAGAACCAGGGAACATCCACCTGTCCTTCAGTGTTGCTAGAAGCTCAGATGCTTTTGCCTCAGGGATGCTGGCCCCTGCATGAGTCAAGCCTGAACTCATGGCGCCCATTTGGACACCTGCTGCCTGAGTGGATTTCCCCAACCCTACCACCCAACCTGCTCTTCTCCCTCACAGCACTTTCCTAATTCATGAATTCACGATTCATGGTCAGGCCTGCCTAGCTATGATTTCCATGACCTCTCATTTAGACATGGCAAGAGTCTCATATTTGGGTTTCCTGTTTCTGGTCCCTTCCCTCTCCAATTTGTCTTTCAGTTGCCAGATTTATCCTTTTTGACGCGTAGCTCTAATCTGGCCTATCCCCAGCCAATGAGCCAACGCCTCTAATAGCTCCCTATTTTTAGAGCAGCAATTTTCAGGCTCTGGGCAGTAGTGCCTGAGGGATTCACAGAGGTGGGTGTGGGGTGTGGGCCTGGGAGCCTGTTCCCCTGTCCTGCCTAACTGGCTCTGCCTTCATACCTGTTTTACATACCAGCCTCTGCTGTATCATTACAGACTTTATAGGATTGGAATTCATTATTTTCCAGAGAGTAAAGTAACCAGAAAGCAAGGCCTTTAGAAATCTAAGCACTCAGGCCATCTTATCCACTGCTCCCTTCTCTGTATTCTTTGCTCTAGCTAAAAGCAGCTGTTTTGTGTGTTTTTTAAAAATATATATTTTATTGATTTTTTTAAGAGAGGAAGGGAAAGGGATAGTTAGAAACATCAATGAGAGAGAAACATCGATCAGCTGCCTCCTGCATAGCCCCTATTGGGGATGTGCCTACAACCGAGGTACATGCCCTTGGCCAGAATCGAACCTGGGACCCTTCAGTCCGCAGGCCGACGCTCTATCCACTGAGCCAAACTGGTCAGGGCAAGGAGCTGGTTTTATAAAAATTCAGTTTATTTTGTTGCATT